CCTGCGAGAAGAGAACTCGGAAGAAATGAAGATTTTACTTCATATAAAAAAGTTTAGAGAGCGGGAACCTCTGTTTAAAAAGCTGCTATAAATAGAAGAAGAAGTTTAGGGTTCCCTTATTGTTGAGTACAATTTTGCAAAATCATGTTTCCACATATTCAAACAGCTTGTGAAATGATTTGATTGGCTGGCAATCTCAGCAGCGACCAGATTTCTGTAGCATGATATGATTGAGTTTGCAAGATAAAACGTTTGAGCGCTCTGAATGCTGAACATCGGCTATATATGAAAATTTGTAGATTCGAGGACCATTCTATTCCACCTCAGCTACCCAATCAGAGATGATAGCAATTTTTATTGTTTTACTGATTCTAATACCACAAAATTTTTCGAAAGACACCGCATCCTGGGCAACAAGAATGGTAAGATAAGTTTCATTAAGATGACATCACGCAATCCTCCTTTGCAGATCGAAATGCTGAAAAATAACGAGCTTGGGTTTTCTTTAAACGATGGTCCAGTATCAACAAATAGCACACCAGTAAGCTTTAAACTTTTCAAGTTCGTTAGTGACTATTATTTTAGCTCTTCTACCACTTTGACCAGTACTACCAATTTTTCAAAGTTGGAGATCCCGGATATTATGCATTTGCGCTTGTTTCAACGCATTCATCAATGTTGTGGTTCCCTCATGTGAACTGCAGCTCGTGAGTATTGAAAATTTTGAATGATAGCGTCAGTGGATCAACATTCTTAAATGAAACTTTACTTTTAGATACGCCTGCGAGCATAGTTCAAAGTTTGATCCAATCGAGTCCAACAGCTTGGTTTTGTCAAATGAGAGATTCAAGTCGATAGACATGGCGGCGAATGCTACTGGCATTCTTGCAACTGACAATGTTGAGGTTAACTTCTATTTTTGCTGCTCACAACACAGAACGCTCATTTGATCGTTCAACGTTGTTTTCGTTTTGAGAAACAGTAATGCAGTCTTGCGTAGCGGCTATAAGAGGGCACAAGATTGCTGAAAACGGGCGGGTTACGTGCGCGTTTTTTAGTGAAAGTGAGCTTCAAGCTCAGAAGCGAAAGAAACGTGTTTTTATTCCAATATTTTCATAGATTCAATCAAGGGTTTAGATATGGCGGTGGTTAGGCTGCCGTCATACTGAGCCGGAAGTTAGGGAACAGTTCCAGCATAACGATCAATTTGATCGCTGATCAGTATGGCGGCGTAGCAAGAGAAACCAAAGGCCTTGCCGCCATATCCGCAGGAGGCAATGAAGAGCTCGAGCACTGTGAAGAGGATTTGTCAAGGATCCAGAACAACTTAGCAAAGAAACTTAAAGGAGA